ATATAAATGACAAGTTGTGTTACTTTAAATTAAGTGTCTGGTAAGATGGATTTTGTCATTTAAGAGAAAAAAATAATAAATGTTGTCAACTTGGATGTACAAATAGGAGATAGTTTGGTAATGTTTCTTTTCTTAAGTGACAAAATTCATCATCTTTTCTTCTATAAAATGACAACATTTGTCAAATTTAAAACAACTAATATGATGTAATATGTCATATCTTATAACATGTCATGACAAATTTAATTGTTACTAAAGATCATGTCGAGAAGATATTTTAAACATCAAAATGACAAATTTTGATGGTCTTTTGAGATACAATATATATGACGAAATTAGTCATTTTGCTAGATATAAAATGACAAAATTTATCATGTTAGAAAATAAATATGATGAAATCAATCATACCTCATAAATTGACATGAAGAAATTCATCATATAAAAACATGTCATAAGTGCTTAAAATTTATCTTGAAATTTTTTTTCATCTTTTAGTGATAAAACATGACTAAGATGACAAGATTTGTCAACGTTATATGAAAAAAATGATGGAATTTTTCAAGTTTAGAAATATATAACTAGACGAAATTCATCGTCTTTATGCTATATCTTAGGTGACAAATACCCTTTATCTTTGACTTAATGCTACAACCGGGATTGTAAATAGATCGGGTCTTGATTTGAATTTGACTCGAATATGATGTAATTAAATAAATTTGGAAAATATTTTTTTTTATTTGGATCCTATTATGATTCGAATCTATTAATTTGTTTATTAAATGAATCAAATCGAAACTCGTATCAATCCGATTTGATAATAAACTGATCTAATATTTAAAAAAAATAATTTTGTGATAAATATAATATTTTTAAAATATTAAAAATTTAAATATGAAAAAATTTAAATATAAAACTAGATTGAAATTTATAATTTATTTATTATAAAATTCAAATAATGTATATCCTTTCATAGTAATGATTGTATTTTTAAAAATCACATGTAATTTTTTTTCTTATCATTTTCTTAACTCAATTTCGTGAAAAAAATCACTTATATACCTTTTTAAGAGTTGGCTTTATTATACTTGTCATCACTCTATTTACGTTACTACGTAGACAAGAAATAAAGATTATTTATTAGTTATTTTTTTTTAGTTTTTATCATACTTTCTACCTAGTTCAAAACAAATTTTTATTAAAATTATTTTATTTTGTACTTTTGAATTGTGTGGCATTTTGATTTTTTTTAAAAAAAATTGATAGATAAAATATTATCTTACTATATTTTATTATATATATAGTGGTTTAAATATATTTTATATTCAAACAATATATTAAATGCGATAAGCATAAATTTTTTTATAAAAATCAAGTGATAAATCCAATGAAGCAATCGAATTTGATCCGAGTCCGTTAGGATCCGAAATCAAATTAACATTTTTAAAACCAAATCCGAATTTATAAAATTCGATATGTTCGTTTCATTAAAAAAATCGAATACATATCGAATCGGGATCTATTATAATTTGATTTGAATCGACCCATTGACAAGCCTAACTACAACAATAGAAATGACTAATTAACTTGACTTATGTTTATGTTAGGCTATGATGATGAATTTTGGTGTCTACTATGATAAAAAAAATTCTTCAAATTAAATGTGTTTTGTTGTAGTGATGGACATGTAAACTCTAGATTTGTATGAAAGTTTTGGAAAAAAAAGGGGGGGGGGGTGTTCAAATGAACATTACTGTAGGAAAAAACAAAGAAATGTTAAGGTTAGAAAACTCAACTTTAGAATGTTCATTTGGAGATAAAGATGAAATGGGATTACCTTGGGTTGGAAATCAATTTGAGTCGCCATGGGTTTCTAGATTGCCATTGTTCGAAAATTCTAAGCTGAACTAGTGCTTTGATGATAGATGAGTCTCTGCTACCTTTTATGGTTCTTCTTTTAGTATAAACTAGAAACTCGGTGTTTGATTTATTTTGTTGTGGTATTTCTCTCCTTGTTTGTGTGTGATCTAAATTAGGTTGATTATCTTGGTTGATTGTTTCTCGTATATGTGGAGATGATCGGGAAATTATAGGATTCAAAATTATGTGTGGCAAGGGATCGGTAGAAACTCGCCAAAAATTATCTTCCTCTATATGTCTCTCCTCCCGAAGAAATTTTTTATAAAAGTAGAGTTCGTGTCTCCAAAAAAATTACATTTATACTTGTAAATTTTTTATTTTTTATTTATTTTTTTGATTATAGCACTTATATCCTTTTTTGTTTGATGCATACCCAATAAAAACACATTTTTCAACCCTACGAATCCAGTTTCGAACGGTATTGACTAGGGATATGAACAAACACAGTACCCTCGAATATCTTGATCGGTAAGTCGACATGCATTCTAGATGTAGGAAACATAGTTTTGAAACATTCTAAAGGTGTCATATATTTCAAGACTCGAGTAGGCATTCTATTAATCAAGTAAGATGCTATCGGCACTATATCTCTCCATAAATATTTCAAAATATGCAAGGAAAACATTATTAATCGTGCTACCTCAAGTAAATTTTTATTTTTTCTTTTAGCAATGTCATTCCGTTGAGAAGTATCACAACACGTACACCGATGCAAAATACCTTTGTCTTTAAAAAACATCCCGAGGAAATTATTAAAAAACTTTGTTCCATTATCTAAACGAAAAAAAAAATTGATTTTTGTTTGAAATTGGTTTTCAACCATATCATAAAAATAATTTTAATAAATAAATTAATTAAATTAAACAAACACCTATTAAATTTTTTTATAAACAATTAAATTATATAAATACAAAAAATTATACTTAATTTAATTAACAACTAAATAAAAATTATTTAACACATAATTTATTAAAATAAGACTTAAATAATTATTTTTAAAAAAATTAAATTAATTAACAAATAAAAAATACTTATAATAATAAAATAAATTAAACTATCTAACAATTAACTAATAAATAATTAAACAACAACAATTAACAATTAAATTTTTTAAATACCAAAAAATAAAATTAATTTAATCAACAACTAAATCAAAATTATTTAACACACAATTTATTAAACTAACACTTAAATAATTATTTTAACAAAAAAAATAAATTAAACTAACTAACAATTAACCAATAAATAATTAACAACAACAATTAATAATTAAACTAACTAACAATTAACTAATAGATAATTAACAACAACAACAACAATTAACGGAAAACTAAATTATTGAAATAAATAAAAAGAACCTAATGGGTTACCAATTACAAACTTGGAGTAGAGAAGGAGGAGTCAGCTGTCGAGGCATTGTTCACGAGAGAAGAGGAGTGAATGGAGGAGGAGGAAAGGAGAGAAAGAAGAAGAAAAGGGAAGAGGAAAAGGAAAGAGAGAGGGGAAGAGGAAAAGAAGAGAGAGGAGGAGATTTAGAGGAACTTGCAGTCGAGATTGGAGGAGAAATTAGGAAGAAAATGGTGGAGATGCGAGTTGCGGAAGAAGAAGAAAAGGAGAAAGAAAGAAAGAATAATTTGGGGGAAAAATTTACAAGGTAGTAGCTTTTAGGGATTAAGTTTTTTAGTGACCGTTTTGCAACCGTTGCTAATAAACTTAAAAAATTCAAAAATGCCTGTTTTTCCTCTAATAGTCATAAATTATATAAGGTTTTCATAAACGGTTGCTAATTTTGATATTTAGCGACGTTTTCATCACAAAAATCGTAGCAAATTTCCTTCCCACCACTAATTTGGAAAACGATTAGATTTAGTGATGGTTTTTATTAACCATCGCTAAATATCCTCGTAATAAAGGGATCTTAGTGACAGCTTAAAATCCAATTTTTTTTGAATTAGTGATGATTTAATTAAACACTCGCTAATTCCAAATTACATTATTTGGTGACGAGTTTTACATAAATTGTCGCTAATATCGATCATATGTGACCAAATTAGCGATGGTTTTGTAAACGGTTGCTAAACCCATTTCTAAAAGGGTATTAGTATAAAGCTCGTCGCTATTAAATGGTTTTAGTTATGGTTTTTTAATCCGTTGCTAATCCAAATGTTTCCGGTAGTGATTAGTGCACCTATTCAAAATCCGTAGGCTTAATTACTTGGTTAAGCTTTGAATTAAAATTGTGAGTCAACTCATTGAATTAAGAGACTTCTTATTAATTAGTTAAGTTTGTAAGCTGAGTTGATTAGACTTTGAGTTAAATTTGTGACTCAACTCGTCTAAAAACTTGTGAAGAAACAAGGAAACGTTATGTGAGCCACTCTCAGATTTTTTTTTTTTTAAATAAATAAAGAAACAAGGAAACTTTATGAAGAAAGGAAAAAAAAAAAAAACAACCTTCTTTCGTATTTCTATTGATTCCTCTTGGTATTATGAACATATATACTACATGTTTTTGGCTTGTATTTAAGTAGGTTTCTATGAAAAATAATTTTCTAAAGTTTTGAAGTTGAGTATAGTAATTAATTATGAGATAGCCAAATAAATAAGATTTTGGAATTATCTAACTTAATTAAACACAAGTGATCAATCTGTGTAAATTTTAAACTAAAAAAGATTTTATTTTGACAATATGTTAAAAAATAACATAAATTATATTATAATAATTCACTTACTAGTGTAAAGTTTTGAATAGAGATTATTATTATTATTTTTTTATAAAGATAAGCACCATTTGGATATGACATGCAAAATACAGAGGCAGCACAGTTTTTGTTTACCGATGCCTTTTTCTCTATAAATTCATCGACATAATAAATTCGAATAATACTCCGGAGACAGCGGCTATTAATACTGGACAGTCCCATAACACCCTCTCCAAGCAACACGAGAAGGAAAAAAAAGAAAAAAAATTCATGAAACAGTAAAAACAAAAACAAAACAACAGATGCCCAAAAGCACAGAGAAAGAAAGCAAATCAAGTAGCAGTATAATAATTTAAGTACTAGCAAGTTTGGTGTGAGACCATGAGAGTGAAAGGTGCTAAGTCCAAAGATTCACTGAGTGAAATACTTAAGAAATATAAGAAGGTTCCAGGAATCAAGGGTCAAGATCATGTGAGTAGACCCATAAGATAAGGAGCACCCAAAGTTAAAAAGTTCTCTCCAGCCTCCAGCTATTGATCTCTTATTACTCTTATTTGGAAGTAGCTTTCAAAATTCCAAAGAAGATTTCACATAAATATCCAAACCCCACTACCTACTTTCTTTTACACTAGCTATGTTGTAAGGATTTAGAGATCCCAGTTTGCCTTTTTTATGGTCTGCTAGCTAGTTTGAGGGTACTGGTGTAAGTGCTGCTTGCTATTTGCTACATAGTCATATTTGGTGCAAAATGATATCTTATCATAAAGTTGGTGTAGAAGCAGCAAGAGGAAGAAGATATGCTGGAGCTAGAGCTGCAATTATCTTCTTATTCTGGGTTCTGTTAATTCTTGCTCAGTTAGGTTTCCTTTTATCTGTTCATGAAGAAACTGGTAAGCTGGTGAAGTCTCTGCCAAGAAAAGTCAGGTTTTCTGAGACACAGTCTTTTCATGGACCTCCAACTCATGATCAGCCTGTGGACATTGATGGAAGAGATCCAGACACAGTATACGAAGATGATAAAAGGATAATTCACACAGGTCCTAATCCTCTTCATAACTAGGAAGAATGGTAGGTTGTGGTACTTCTGTATGCTACTTATAAGGTTTGGCGCTAGAAATTCAAGAGTGTGATAAATGTCTGTAAGATGGTTTCGGCTTTCAGCTTTTTGTTCTTTACTTTTGTTTTCTTTCAAAGAGAAGAGAGCATTGGCTTTAGCCTTTTCAGTCATGTTTAATGAAGTTGGGACAGTAGTGTAGCAATGGTGTGTGAGAATGAGGGCAAATGAGAGGGCTAGTGTTAATGCTCTGTTTCTTTTTCAGTGTTTTCTTCTGCTGTACCCTTCTGCTTAAATTCATCGTCTTTGAATTTAATTGTAGTTACTCTTGTTCATCTACTTTGCCACACATGCGTCCTGGGAACTCACCAACTAAATTTGAAATCTTACTCGGTTTTTTCCCCTGTTTCTTAGTTTTTGGTTTAAAACTTCCCTGAAAACTTAATAACATTAATTTGTACCAAAAATGGATGCATAACTTAGACTCATAGCCTTGGTTCACTTAAGTCCTTGCTATAATATTAAAACAAACAGAAGAACCTACTAATCAGTGTCTGTATATGCTTCATGCTGTAAAGAACACTTCTACTCACACCGCCAAAAAAGAAAGGCAATTCTACTTTAAATATATTTACTGATTCTTCAGTTGAAAAGGAGCTTTTCTTTTTCTTATTAAAAGTGGAGAGCAAGGCCACATGCCTAATCGTTCTTGTTTTTGTTTTTGTTTTTTTTTTCTTTTTTTCACACGATCTGATTATTAACAAAATTCATCAGTTTCAGTACCCCAAAAGGCAAACAAAAAGTGGAAAAAGTGGGAATCCATGCATATGCATATATTATTTGCATGGAGTTTGAGAACAAGAGTGCTAGGCAGCTGCTACTCCTATCATAGGTGTGGCTTATGTTTTTGACAAAGCAGAATTAATTTATTCTAATTTTGACCGTCGTCTATCACCCAATTAATGTGTCATGATGCTAACCATTAAGATAATCGCGTACCAAATTCCTAAAAAAAAAAAATCATGTAGCATATATAAACAATTAGCAACCGTCCAGTATATATCCAGAACGTTCAATGTAATACAAGCACAATCGAACAGGCATGATGATGCATTATTCAGGCAAAAGATGGACGGGTTATAGGTAGGAAAAAAGACACCGTTAGAACATTAATGTTGTTGTGGCGTATGCCAATCATGTATCTGGTCAGACACTGTTGCACAAACAGACATGGCTTTAATAACCAGGTTGGGGAGGAGGGAGGACGAGGGACTCTTTTGATTGATTATTCCTAGAAGCACTATCTGTTTTTGACTTAAATGCGTCCATTTCTCTAAATGAGGATGCCTGTCTCGCTGGGCCAACACGCTTTCTTAAGTTTCGAGACGCTGTACCAGCCATCAAATATTATATTACGCTACTAACTGTTAAGAATTCGATTAAATTTTAATTAATACCAGTAGTACAGTCAACAGCGTTCTGTTTTCTACATATATGGCATACCTGCAGTTAATTGAGGGTACTCGCCTTCTCCTGAATGACTAAAGTATCCCTACACCATTTCCTTGTTGAACGGGGAGGGAAGTCTCTTCTCCATGCCCTTTGGGGTAGCTCCAATTATTTACTGAGAAAAAAGAAAAGACAAAGCTACAGTACTAGAGTAGGTCCCTTTTTCTCTCTTATTCCATGTTAATTTTTGGGCTCGTGTCACCTTTGGACAAAACAAATTTCAAGCTCTCAAAGTGTCATCTTAAAAAAGAAAAGAAAAAAAGCCATTGAAACTTCATTGGAATCAGTTTTGTCTAGTGAACCGTGAAAATCTCCATGCAGTGGCTAGAGAGAAGGGAAGACATTTTCTTCTATTGTAAGTTTCGACAAGATCAAAAGATTCTGTGGAAGGATGAGAAGCCAAGGTCTCTGAAGATCACAACTATAATTAATATATTTTGTGCAAAGGAGATAGTTTTTTAGTTTTTCCCTATGTAATGAATGTTTGCTTGACGCCATTATAGAGCATTTAAGTGTATGAGTTAAAGAGGGCGTGATGAGAGTGCAACTACCTCTTCTCTCTCTCTTTTAATTATCAACTTCCATGAAACTTTTTTATTGCTTCCACCCACCCAAGCTCCTGCTAGTTTAATTTGCTAGCTTGCATATTTCTCCGTTCGATACTTCCTTTTGCTCTGTTCTCATCATTTTTATCACCAATGAAGAAGTTATACGAGCGAAAAAGAAAGGTCCCACAATGGTGTGCATGGTTGGAAATGCTAGATTTAATACAATTCATCAACCACCTAAGAGGTTCTAATAATGTTAATCAATGGCCGTCGCATTCAGGCTATTCAAGTATTGATAAAACATGTTGGTTGGTTTTAATAGTACTAATGGTTTTCCAAATCTGCCTTCGTTTTGGCCATTCCTTGGCAAATCTATGTGTTTGATGAGAATGTCCTCTCATTTGACAGCCAAAGAATTGGACTTTGAATTTGAAGTTAGAAGAAAAAATGAAGCATTGAATCTATACATGAAAGTATGGTGCACTTAATTCAAAATTGTGTAGATGCCTAGCAGGTACATAGCAAGCAATGTAATTAATTAATGAATACGACTAGATATATAATAAATGTTATCACAGTATGTACAACTCAAAATACCTTCAATGCTTTCAATCAATTAACTCTCAAACTTTGCCAAAATCTTCAGTTAACCCCTTTCGCCAGTCGCTATTAGTTCTGCTGCTAAACGAAAATGCCGTTTCATTGGGTCAATTTCAATTTTAATGGCCTGAAAAATATGAAATATAGACAATTGTCAATTATTTCATGTTCACAGATTTCGACTGATTAATTACAAAAATTAATAATAATAATAATAAAGAAAAATCTGATTTTGAAATCAAATTCAATTAAAACTGATTTGATTTAATTTCAAAAATCAAAACCACGTGTCTTTCTCTTGATCTATCCTTCTTGCTTGTCCATCTCACGTTCTTAATCTATCATGTTGGGTTAAACAAGGCATCTGCAGCTGATAATTTCTTGCTAATACTATCGTGGCCCGATTTAGTCAGCCGTGTTGAACGGAATTAGCCAAATAGTATCACAATCATCATTGTCATCGTCACCACCTTTCACGGCCACCACTATTCGATAATTTTTTTTTCATCATAAATTTTTTATTAAAAGTTCAAATTTTCTTTCTTAATCCGAGTTACAATTTTTATCACGAGTTTATTTATGATCCAAAAATCGTTGGAGTTGTTAGATTAAAAATTGGTTAAATCAATTAACTAGTTGTTGAAGTTGTTAAGTCGGTTATGCTTACCTGGCAATCTTACCCGGCAACACTCAATCCAATTCGTCCATTTCTTGTATAAAAAGACTTCCTCCGTTCATTAAAGCAATAAGAAGAAATAATTCCAATATTTTCACAATATGGTATCGGAGCACTTTTGCCACGCTCCCAAATTTTCCTTTTGCCGCTCAAAATGTTCTCTCTCTTTCTTTTGGAGCTTCAACCTTACTTTTCATTTTCCTAAGAAACAAACATGATATTTTCTCACTAAACAAACACAATTCTCTCTTGCATAATTCTCGGTTGCTATTCACATATAAGTCAATCTTTCATACCGACTCTTAATTCATACTTAAATGGCAGAAACTTGTTTCACAAATACTCTTTCCGGACACGAAGATCCAGCTTCAAATCCGTATTTCTACATGCTAATGAAAATCCTTCATTAGTACTTGTTTCTTCTATACTCTCGACTCTAATTACCATTCTTGGTCAAGATCTATGAAGATGACATTGCTTTCGAAGAATAAGCATAAATTTATGGATGGTTCCATACAAGTTCTTGTAGCAACGAGATCCTTTGTATTTTTGTTAGGAAAGGTGTAATACAATGGTGCTTTCATTGTTGGTTAATTTAGTTTTTCAATCAATCACACATAGTATTTTATGGTTAGACATAGTCGTTGATGTTTGGCAAGATTTGAAAGAAAGATTCTCTCATAGTGATTTATTTAGAATTACAAATTTATAAGATAAGATATCTACTCTTCACAAGGGTACCGATTCCGTGACTCGATACTTCACTTAGCTTAAAATTCTTTAGGAAGAACTGATGAATTTAAGATGAGTACCAACTTGTTCTTGTGATCCCCGTTGCAATTGTGGAGCTCGAAGGTCGTGAAGGATTACCGGATGAATGATTACGTGATTCATTTTCCGAAGGGACTCAATAAGAATTACTCAATCGTTAAATCACAGATTATGAATCTTGATCCATTACCCGAAATCAACAAAGAATTTTCCCTTGTCATTCAACAAGAAAGACAAATGTCCATGGGACCTCTCTCAACTAAATCACATACCGAAGCTTTATCAATTGTCTTTATGAGTAGAGGAGTATCCGTTTTTAACTCATATAAGAAGTTTATGAGATTTCCGAAAGTTCATCTAATAAACCCACATGTTCACATTGTGGTCTTCAAGGTAATGCAGTAGATACATGCTGCAAGAAGCATGGCTTTCTCCCGGTTATAGACCACGATACGGATCCTTTGGATCCGGTTTTTACTTTTGTTCCATTAGTGCTTATCAACAAACTGGAAACGGTACTAGTCCATGAATCAAATCCGAGTCGCTAGCGTAACTACAAAGTCTTCTCTGTATGGACCTAGTGTTGAGTGTTTTGAATCTGCTAGTAATCCCCATCCCGTAAGTAGTCCTAACACTCAAATTACATTGTCTTCTACTCGTGTCTCTTACATTAGAATAATACACCAAATTAATGAAATTAATACAACCCTCCAAAATCACCTCCCTAGTACGGATAAACTCTCTCAAAACTACATTTTCTTATTGTGAGATGACGAGTAAATTGGTGTCTTCCTTTTATTCTAATCCCATTACTTTCTCATCAACTTGGATATTGGATACTGGAGCCACTTGCTCACATAATATGCTCCTTAAAATTCTTTAGTCAATATCATCCTATTTCT